TACCCCATGCAACAGGAATCTGGAAAAAAGCAGGGGTAGGTAATCTATTTGCAGACAATGTAGACTTCAAGCTAGGACTGATCAAGAGAGACAAAGATGGTCACTACACCCTTGTAAAGGGAAAAATGCAAGAGGGAGAGATAACAATTATAAATATCTATGTACCAAATACCAGCACCATCAATATATAAAGCAAATATTAACACATACAAAAAATCAAATAAGCACTAACACAATTGTAATGAGGGTGCTCACTACCCCACTGTCACAAACAGACAGATCAACTAGACAAAAAAATCAACAAAGAAATATCAGAACTAAACCAAACTTTTGAACAAATGAACTTCATAGATTTCTACAGACTGTTCCATCTCAAAACATCAGAACGTATATTCTTCTTAGCTGCACATGGAATGTTCTCCAAAATAGACCACATACTAGCTCATAGAACATTCTTTAGTAAATGCAAAGGAATTGAAATTATCCTATGCATATTATGAGACCATAGTGCAGTGAAATTGGAAATCAATGGCAAAAGAAACCACAAGAACTTCATAAACACATGGAAATAAAACAACACCCTCCTGAACAACAATGGGTCACAGGTGAAATTAAAGAAGAAATTAGGAGTTTCCACAATTAAACGATAATGCCAATACAACATTCCAGAACTTATGGGATACAATGAAAGCAGTCTTATGGAGAAATTTATAGCAATGAAGTCCCATATCAGAAAAACAGATCAAGCTCAAATGAACAACCTAATGTTGAACCTCAAGCTTCTAGAAAAAGAAGAGCAAGCCAAGCCGAAAGCTCGTATGAAGGAGGAAATTATTAAGATCAGAGCAGAGCCAGGGATTTAGCTCAGTGGCACCATGCCTGCCTTGCAAGCACAAGGTCCTGAGTTCAATCTCGCTTACCAAAAAAAAAAAAAAATTGCCTTGGGCCAGGGATTTAGTTCAGTGGTGCCGTGCCTGTGTTGCAAGCACAAGGTCCTGAGTTCTGTCCCCAGTACCACCAAAAAAAAAAAAAGATCAGAGCAGAAATTAATGCAATGTAGACTAAGAAAATATTATAAATAATCAATGAGGGCTGGGGATTTAGCTCAGTGGTGCTGCCGTCTGCCTCGAAAGCACAAGGTCCTAAGTTCGATCCCCAGTACCAAAAAAAAAAAAAAATCAATGAATCGAAGAGTTTTGGTTCTCTGAAAGAGTAAATAAAATTGACAAACCCTTAGACAACCTTATCAAAAAAAAGAAAGAAAAGACTCGAATCCATGAAATTAGGAATAAAGGGGTACAATCACAACAGATCCTGCAGAAATCTAGATCATTAATACCTACCTTGAGAACTTGTATTCTAATAAGATGGAAAACACAGAAGAAAAAGACAGATTTCTGAATATATATGAATTATCAAATCTGAATCAAGAAGATATATAAAAATTCTAAATAAACCAACATCAGTCAATGAAATTGAAGATGTAATTTAAAATGTACCAACAAAGAAAAGCTCAAGCCCTGATAGATTCACTGCTGAATTCTACAAGAAAGACCTATTGCTGCTACTTCTCAAACTCTTCAACGAAATTGAAAAGGAATCAGTACTCCAAAACTCATTCCTGGAAGAAAGCATTACACTACAACCAAAACCAGAAAAAGATCCAACCAAAAATGAGAACTACAGGCCAATCTCCCTAATGAACATAGACAAAAAAACCCTCAATACGATAGTGGCAAACAGAATGCAGCACATCATCAAGAAGATTATACACTCTGACCAAGTAGGATTCACCCCAGGGATGCAGGGATGGTTCAACATATGCAAATCAATAAATACAATACACCATATTAACACTGCCCAGAACAAAAACCACATAGGATCATCTCAATTGATGCAGCAAAAGTGTTTGACACAGTCCAACACCCATTCACAATAATAAAAGCCCTACAGAAAATTGCTAGAGATGGTCTTTATCTCAATCTGATAAAAGCCATCTATGACAAACCAACAGCCAACATTACACTATTTAGTCTATTTAGACAAAAACTGAAAGCTCTCACTCTAAAATCAGGAAGAAGACAAGGATCTCCACTGTCACCACTCTTATTTGATATAGTTCTGGAAACACTAGCCAGAGCAATTAGACAAGAGAGAGAACAGGAATAAGGATAGGGAAGGAAGAAGATAAATTATCATTATTTGCAGATGACATATACTCTACATAGAAAACCCTGAAAACTCCACCAAAAGGCTTCTAGATTTAATAACCAAATTCAGTAGCATAGCTGAATACAAAATCAACACTCAAAAATCAATAGTCATCCTGTACACAAAAAACAAACTCACAGAGAGAAATTAGGGAAACAGCACCTTTCACAATAGCATCCAAAAAAATGAAATACCAAAGAATCAGTCTAACAAAGGAAATTAAAGGCCTTTACATGGAAAACTACAGCACTCTGAAAAAGGAGATTGAAGAGAATATCAGAAAATGAAAAGATATGGCTTGTTCTTGAGTGGGAAGAATCAACATAGTGAAAACGGCCATACTTCCACAACTGCTATATAGATTTAATGCAATTCCAATCAAAATACCAATAGCAGGGGCGGGGATTTAGCTCAGTGGTTCTGCCACCTGCCTTGCAAGTGCAAGGTCCCAAGTTTGATCCCCAGTACCCCCCCCAAAAAAAACCAAACAAAACCCAATAGCGTATCTCATAGACTTAGAGAAAATAATCCTAAAATTCATTTGGAACCAGAAGAGACCTAGAATAGCAAAAGCAATTCTGGGCAACAAAGGCAAGGCAGGGGGTATCACAATCCCTGAGTTGAAATTATACTACAAAGCTACTGTAATAAAAACAGCATGGTACTGGCAAAAAAAAAAGATTGGGGGATAAGTGGAACAGATTACAAGATGTAGAAACAACTCCAGACATATGGAGCCACCTTATTTGGGGGGGGTACTGGGGATTGAACTCAGGACCTTGTGCTTGTGAGGCAGGCGGCAGCACCGCTAAGCTGAATCCCCAGCCCTCTCAGCCACCTCATTTTTGACAAAGGAGCCAAATACCTTCACTGGAAGAAAGACAGCTTCTTCAATCAATGGTGCTGGAAAAACTAGCTTTCCACATGCTGAAGATTAAAACTAGACCCACGTAGGGCTGGAGATTTAGCTCTGTGGTGCTGCACCTGCCTCACAAGTGCAAGGTCCTGAGTTCAATCCCTGGTACTGGAAAAAAAAAAAAAAGCTAGACCTATGTGTTTGACCTATGGGTCAAAGATCTAAATATTAAAACAGACAAACTAAATCTGCTAAAAGATAGAATAGGTAAAACTCTTGGAGACATTAGTGTAGGCAAAAACTTTATGAACAAAGCCCGGAACGTACAGGAAATATCACAAAGTATCAACAACTGAGATCTCTTCTTATTAAAAGCTCTTGCAGGGCTGGAGATTTAACTCAGTGGTTCTGCTGCCTGTCTCACAAGCGCAAGGTCCCAAGTTCAATCCTCAGCACCAAAAATAAAACAAATCAAAAAAAGCTCTTGCACAGCAAAAGTTACTACCAACAGAATGAAGAGACAACCTACACTGTGGGAAAAATTTTCCCAGCTGTTCCTCAGACAAAGGGCTAATATCTAGAACTCAAAAAATCAGATCCCCCCCCCAAATTTAAAGACCCAATCCAAAAATGGGCACCTGAAATGAACAGACACTTCAGAAATGAAGTATAGATGGCAAATGAATATATATAAAAAAAGTTCAACATCACTGGTCATTCAAGAGGTGCAAAATAAAACAGCACTGAGATTCCACCTCTCTCCAGAAAGAATGGCTGCTATCAAGAAATCACCAATAACAAATGCTGGTGGCTGTGGGGGAAAAGGAACTCTCCACTGTTGATGGGAGTGTAGACTGGTGCCGCCACTGTGGAAATCAGTGTGGAGATATCTCAAAATACTAAAACTAGAGGATCCATTCAACCCAGCCATTCACCTTCTTGGTATCTTCTCCAAAGAATTAAAAGCATCTTACCTCAGCAATATATGCACACCCATGTTTATAGTGGCATAGTTTGTGATAGTTAAATCTTGGAAACAGCCCAAATGCCCATCAACCAATGAATGGATAAAGATATGGGTTGTTTTGGGCTGGGGATTTAGCTCAGTGGTTTTGCCGCCCGCTGCGCAAGCATAAGGACCCGAGTTCCATCCCCAGTACCAAAAAAAAAGAAAAAGAAGATGTAGGTTTTTTATATAATGGGAGTACTATTCTGCCATAAAGAAGGATATGCTTAAGACATTTCTACCTAAATGGATGCACCTGAGACCATACTCGCAAGTGAGATAATGGGACACCCATGTTTAAATACCACATTATTTTTCTGGTTGTGAGAAACAGAAAGTGGAAATAAGGACCACAATGTATAATAGATATTGGGAAATGAGAAAGAAAAATGTTCAAATGAAAAAGTGAATAATGGGGTGGGAAGGGGAAAGGAAGGAATGGCCAAGAAAAAGAGACTAGAAGGAAAAAAATGGAAACAAAGCTTTTGTAAATAAGGAGGGGATGAGAGATTGAAGGAAGGGGAGGAGAATGGGAAAAAAAGAAGCAAGATATATCATGTACGTACAAATTCCCTATGATGAATGTTATCATTATGTATATCTAAAATGTAGCAATAAAAAGACTTTACACTTGATCTTAGCCAAAAGGCCGAGAAGCAATAATAAAAAGACTTTAAAAATTAAAAAATAAAAAACAGTAGTAGATTATTGTGAACTAGAATCCTCCCCCGTGGAATTAACATTTTTAAATCCCACGCAGCAAATCAAACCACTCCTATCGCCCAACTATGACCCACAGGTGGACAATTTGCAAACCCAAGGAAGACACTCCAATGCGAGGACACTCAAGGCTTGGCTGTCCCGCGCAGTTTATATGCGATGTGAAGCTCCGCCCATGTTCAGACTCCGCCCCGTGACGCCATGCGTCTTGCGTACACAAGCGCACTTCCCCAGTACAACCTGGCAGCACGCGGGCGACCCGGAAGGTTTTCCTGCCACACTCCAGACCCGTGGTGAGGGGAGTCAATGGCGGAGGGAGCGGTGGAGGCTCCAGCCGAGAGTGGTGGTGACGGGGACTCAGGAGTGAGCGCGTCGGAACGGGGAGTAGCGCCCATTAAGCCTCAGTAAGTCTTCAGGGAAATGTGGAGATAATTTTTTTTTTAATCCCATTCCACCCCTCAAGCCCAGTATGGGGATAATTTTATGTGGTCTTTTCGGCACCCGTAGCGCGTCCCGAGCAGTGCACGCCGGGAGATGGGGCAGCGGCCTGGAGCGGGAAGCTCTCAGGGTCTTCAGTACGGACTGTTTCTCCGCTGGCGTAGTGGTCAGCGGCGGCCCCAGAGATTTTGCACGTTGGAAGCTGTCATATGTCCAAAGGACGTCCACGTGCTTGCTAAGGCAGGCGGGGGGCGGGGTTAGAGGTTAGAGGAAAGGACCGCGGTGCTTGCTGGGAATTGTAGTCCTTGCAAATGGCAGGAATAGCGCATGTGCATCTTTAGCTGCAGCTACAGGAGGATGACTGGTGTCTAAGGCGAGTGCTCCATAGTCAGTGTTCCGGGACTTTCGGTGTCTGATGAGCCTAAAGGCGTGCTGGGAAATGTGGCAGCTTGGTCCTCATCGCAAGGCATTCTGGCACTTTTTTTTTTAACCTTATGCGTGAGGATGTTCATGTCTGGTAGCAGAACTCTAGGCAGTGCTGTGTAGATCAGGAAAATAGGCCCTCCCACCTGTACACCCAGGACTGGGGTAGGTTGAGACAGGAGGATTGCAAGTCAGAGTCCCATCTGAACAACTTAGTGACATCCTCTCAAAATATATAAAAGGCTGCTGATGTAGCTCAATGGTAGGGCTGGGTTCGAGCCCCAGTACCTAAATAAGTAAGTATATAAATAACTGATTTGTCCCTCTGGCCTTGAGGTTCTCCCAGGCTGGCAAGTTACGGTTCAAAGTAGTGAGCTCCCCAAAACATTCAAACAGGGGCATCTGTTCTCATCCCTCAGTGTTCATTGAGTCCGAGTACAGGAAGGACTCCTGGAAGTGTTCTTTTCCTCCCCTGTCTGCCGGCAGATACCTCACCACCAAGGAAGGCTTCCACAGGTTCCTGGAAGCCAAAGGGCAGGAGAAGCTCCCCCAGGAATCTAAGTCAGGAAACCCTGGTGGCAGTGATGTGTCTGAGCCTGAGGCCAAGAGGATCCGATTGGAGAATGGGCAGACAGAGGAGGCAGCAGAGCCTGGGGAACAGCGCCAGGCACAGAAGAGGGCACGGGGCCAGAACAAGGTCCGGCCCCACATGAAGCCCACACACTATGACAAGAACCGGCTGTGCCCTTCCCTAGTCCAGGTGAGCCTGGCCCTCCAAAACAATTCCAGGGTCCATCTGAGTCTCTCAGCCCATTTGCTCCTCTCTTCCTCAGTCCTAGTATGACCTAAGTACAGGTGGTCCCGATTTATGACAGTTCACTTTGTCATTTCTTGTCCCTTTTTTGTTTTTTGCAATGCTGAGTATGGAACCCAGAATCTCATGCATGCTAGGCAAGCACTCACCAATCAGCTATAGCCCCAGCCTTTATTTTATTTTATTTCTTCTTTTTTTTTTCCAGTACTAGGGTTTGAACTGAGTACCTTGTGCTTCCAAGGCAGGCGAGGCGCCACTGAGCTAAATCCCTGGCCCTGCCTTTATTTTACTTTGAGACAGCCTTGCTAAGTTGCCTAAGTTGGCACTGAACTTGAGGTCCCCCTGCCTCGGCCTCCCTGGTGGCTGAGATGGCAGGCTGTACCACTGTGCTCAGTTTGCTTTTTGACTTCTGGTGGTGCAAAAGTGATTTCTATTCAGTAGAAAGTACACTGCAAACTTTGATCTTTTCTGGACCATACTGTGTAACTTGGTCCTCTAGGGATGTTCAGTCCCAGTTCGCCCTGAGATTGTGAGGTTGAATAACTGACACTCTGGTGCATTGTGTGGCTCATCTAAGATGTTTTGTTTTGTTTTTGACAGGGGTCTTGCTGTGTAGTTCAGGCTGGCCTCGAACTCACAGCAATCCTCCTGCTTCAGGCTCCCAAGTGCTGGGCTTACATTTGTGTACCACCACACCTGGCTCCTTAAGTTTGTTTTTGTCTGACGGTATTTTCAGTTTACAGTGGGCTTTTCCAGGTGTAACCCCACTGTAAATTGGGGACCACCTGCATTGCTTCTCTTCCCATTTATAGGAGAAAAAATTGAGGCAGAGTGAAGTCACTGCCCTGCCCAAAGCACAGCCTGAGGGGTGGGGTGGGTCTGGCACTCACAGATGGGCTTCTCAGCTACCTGCACCCCAACCCTTCCCCCTTCCCCCTTCCCCCACAGGAGTCACCTGGCCAGTGTTTCTTTGGGGACCGCTGCCGCTTCCTGCATGATGTGGGCCGCTATCTGGAGAGCAAGCCGCCCGACCTAGGCCCCCACTGTGTGCTGTTTGAGACCTTTGGCAGGTGCCCCTATGGGGTGACCTGCCGCTTTGCTGGCGCCCACTTGGGGCCCGAGGGTCAGAACCTGGTGCGTGAGGAGCTGCTGGCTTATGGGGCCCACCCACCGCCCCTGCGCAATGGCCTGGACAAGGCCCTGCAGCAACAGCTGCGCAAGCGCCAGGTCCGCTTTGAACGCGCTGAACAGGCCCTGCAAGGGCTCAGCCAGGGCCCTGCGCCAGCTGCAGCTGTTGCCAAGCTCACAACCCCTGAGGGTGACCCGGGGCAGAACCACTGTGCCACCCAGCAGGACCCCATGGGGCTGGGGGCCAGCACTCCTCCTGGCAGCCCTGTGCAGACCTGCGGGCCCTTGACAGACGAGGACACCGTCAGGCTGCGGCCCTGTGAGAAGAAGCGGGTACGAGTCTTGGGCTCTTGTTGAGGACAGCAGCAGTGCACAGTTGTTGCAGTCACATCCATGTTCCTCTTCCAGACACCGGGGCTTCATGAGCAGCGCCCTCGCATTGCTCCAGCTGGAACATCTCTCTTCTCTCTGGGCTCAGCCCGCATCAGGTTCCGGTCTGGAGAGGCAGGAAAAACTAGACACACACTCTTAGTCCTAGAGGGTCAGGGCCGGGCAGAGGACAATGTGGGAGGCTTCCCAAAAGAGCGGGCACAGAAACTGGAACTTTGGCAGTTGAACAGAAGCTCTTCAGTAGTGGCAAATATGCCATAAAGGATATTTAGCATATGTAGAGAGGCCCAGAAGTGCAAAGTTACCGGGCTGGGCAGGGCATAGCAAAGCGTGTCCTAGACTGGAGAGAAAGGTGCCCCCAGAGGTCTCATGGCTGCGTCTTCTTTCCCTGCAGCTGGACATCGGTGGCAAACTGTACCTGGCCCCGCTCACGACGGTAGGACCAGCTGCTGAGGCCTCAGCAGATGGTGGGGGGCTGGGGACATTGTGGTGCATCCCTCCTGTGTGTCTCAGGCAGGGTGGGTGTCTGGGGCCCCTTTCTGCCCCTCCTGACGTCAGTGCATGTGTGTCCCATGGCCCCAGTGCGGGAATCTACCCTTCCGGCGGATCTGTAAGCGCTTCGGGGCGGACGTGACATGCGGCGAGATGGCCATGTGCACCAACCTGCTGCAGGGCCAAATGTCGGAGTGGGCCCTGCTCAAACGCCACCCATGCGAGGACATCTTCGGGGTCCAGGTCCGTGCCCGCCCCTGGGGACAGGAGGAAGGAGGGACCCCCAGCTGCCATGTTTGGGAGCCACCTCAGGAACCAGCCTGGGTCACGTCCCCATCCCCTCTTGGCTATGGGTGGCATCCATAGCTGATGGCCTCAAAGATCAGTGCCTTCTGGGGCAGCTTGAGTGCAGGGTGCTGGCTTGAGATGCCCCAGTGGCCATGAGTGACAGGGAGGGGACAGCTTGGCCTGCCCCAGCCTGCTGTCCCTGCAGCTGGCAGGCGCCTTCCCAGACACCATGACCAAGTGCGCGGAGCTGCTGAGCCGTACTGTCGAGGTGGACTTCGTGGACATTAATGTCGGCTGCCCTATCGACCTTGTGTACAAGAAGGTAGCATCTGCGGGCCCCTGGGGCACAGCCTTGCACCCAGCTGCACTGGGCTTGTGCCTCGGTTTCCCCATCAGGGCCACGAGGGGCCCAAAGCCGCTGGTGACATGGCGGGGTGGGGTCTCGGATGCCTGTGTGTGACTGGGGAGGGTTGGCCTTTCCTCCCAGTGGCACCTGTGGGCACACAGGCCCTGAGGGTGCCCGAGGGGTGCACCCACGCCCCACCTGCTACTCTCTCCCAGGGTGGGGGCTGCGCCCTCATGAACCGCCCTGCCAAGTTCCAGCAGATCGTTCGCGGCATGAGTCAGGTATGCAGGACGTCCCCACCTTCCCCAGCCCTGCCTTGGCCCAACCACCCCCAGACCATACTGCCCCTGCCGCAGGTGCTGGACATGCCACTGACTGTGAAGATCCGCACAGGCGTCCAGGAGCGCGTGAACTTGGCACACCGCCTGCTGCCCGAGCTGCGGGACTGGGGCGCTGCCCTCGTAACGGTGGGTCTTGGGGTACCACGGGCATCTGGGCTGTGGGGAGCCCTGGTGTCCCTTCCTAATGGCCTCTCCCTGTTTCTTGCTCCTCATTCTCTCTCTACTCCCTGTGTCTCCATCCCCACCTCTGTCCCCTCTCAGCCTGTCCCTCTCGGTCCCTCCCTCTCCACATCTCCTTCTCTGCCTCCCTCCTTGGGTGGGACGGCGGCTCTCCCCCCCAGCTCCACGGCCGCTCCCGGGAGCAGCGCTACACGAAGCTGGCCGACTGGCAGTACATTCAGCAGTGCGTGGAGGTGGCCAGCCCCATGCCGCTCTTCGGTGGGTGCTCTCCCCTGCCACCCAGGGCCACCCATGCCACTGCCTCCCCTGCCCCACGCCTGGACTCCTGCCCTCCCAGGGTCCACGGGGAGCTTGGAATTCCTGAAGAGCTGGCAGGGTCTAGCCAGCCTACAACTCCTGAGACCCGAGTCTGTCCCCTCCCCTCAGGGAATGGGGACATCTTATCCTATGAGGATGCCAACCGTGCCAAGCAGACTGGAGTCGCCGGGATCATGATTGCCCGGTAGGTTCCCTGCAGGCTTTTGGGACAGCTGGGGCCACCCTGGAGCCCAGCCCAAGGCAGGGTGACAGCGAGGCGGCTGTGGGCTGGGACAGGACAGAGGACACCGGATGTGTCTGCTGTGGGCTCAGGGATGTAAACACCCCAGGCTTCGAGATGTAACATGGGGCTGGGCTCCAGCTGCAGCCCCTGGGTCCCCGCTGAACTCTGCCCCTATCCCTGCAGGGGTGCCCTGCTGAAGCCCTGGCTGTTCACGGAGATCAAGGAGCAGAGGCACTGGGACATCTCATCCTCCGAGCGCCTGGACATCCTGCGGGACTTCACGCACTATGGCCTGGAGCACTGGGGCTCTGATACGCAGGGCGTGGAGAAGACAAGGCGCTTCCTGCTGGAGTGGCTGTCCTTCCTGTGCAGGTGGGCCCTGGGCTTGGCCCCACCTCACCCAATCTAGGTCCCGCCCCTCCCGACTTACCGTCCTGGCTGTGCCCTGACCAGCTTTGACCCCACCCTGCCTGCCCGTGGCCCCGCCCACTGACCTTGGTCCCCGGCCCTCCCAGGCTTGATCCTTACCTAACCCAGTCTGCCCTGCCAGGCCTTGGCCCTGCCCCTGCATCTTTGGCCCCGCCCTTCAGCTCTGGCCCCACCCCCACAGGTATGTGCCTGTGGGTCTGCTGGAGCTACTCCCGCAGCACATTAATGAGCGGCCGCCCTACTACCTGGGCCGCGACTACCTGGAGACCCTCATGGCCAGCCAGCAGGCAGCTGACTGGATCCGCATCAGGTGCGGGCTGCCCAGGCCAGGCGGGGATGGGAGCCGGGCACCCTGGACTCCAGGCCTGACCAGATCCCCGCCTGCCCTCCCTCCTTCCCTCCACTCCCCACAGTGAGATGCTGCTGGGCCCCGTGCCGCCCAACTTCGCCTTCCTGCCCAAGCACAAGGCCAATGCCTACAAGTAGCTGCCATCCTGGACCGGGGCTGGTTTGGACAACAAATTGGTTTTTTGGGGGGGTGGTCTTTGGAGGCAGGGTCTCACTATGAACCCAGGCTGGCCTCGAACTCAAGGCGATCTTCCTGCCTCAACTTCCTCAATGCTGGCATCACAGCCATGTGCCACCACACCTGGCTTAATAAATTGTATTCTTTTAAAATCCAGCTGTTTCTCTTGTTGGTCAGGCAGCCCCTCCCCATCCCTTTCCTGCCCACAGCTTGGCCTTGGCTGGTTGGCCCCTGGCTCAGCAACCCCCGCCCCAGGCCGGATAGAAGTGCTGTCCACCAAGATGCTGGTGGGGTGCAGTGGGGGTGGGCATCGGGGGAGCTGCCTGGAGGTGGCAGCCTGGGGCTGTTAGTAGGGCCTGGATAGAAGAAGTGGAAGGTAGGGGGCCTGGTCCAGGGTCAGGGTGCTCTAGGGGATGCCTGGCTGTGACCTCAGGGGTTCCTCTCTACCCCTGCCCACCCCACCCCACCCCTGGAATCCTGAGGAGTGAGCTGGGCCCAGCCCGGAACCTGTTGCCCCAGTAACCAGCAGACAAAACGCTGCAGTGCTGCAGCCTCCGTCCTGGATGGCAGCCTCCCCTCCCACCTCCACTCCTGGTGCCAGGCCGGGCCCCTGCCCACCCATGCAGCACCCCGAACCCTTCTCCACACCCGTAGCTTCTCAGGAAGGCTTCAGTGTCCAGGGCCTGGAGAGCATGGAGGGCCCAGGCGGCCGTCCTGTGTTCACAGGCACCGACCCTCTGCCCGCCATGGGTATGAGCTGAGGGGACCTGGGGGCAGCTGGCAGTCAGGTCGGGGCTGCCACCGGCCGCTCAGGGCCCTGCCACCTGCCTCCTCTGTCCACAGCCTCTGCGAACCCGCTGTATCAACCCCCAAACCCAGAGAAAGACGTGTTTCCGGGTCCACCAGCAGGTACCGAAGTCCCTCAAGCTGGAATGAAGATGTGGGAGCAGGGTGGGGTGGATAGGGCCCTGATTGCCCCTGTGCATCCCTAGATGGGACCCCAGACGTGGGACTGTGGCGATACTTAGGGGACCCCTGAACAAAAGCTGTGTCCCCCATCCACAGATAACCCCCAGAGGCAGAGCCCACATCCCTCATCCCCCCAGATGAGGCCCCAGAGCAAAGCTAGGGGCTGTTGTCTCCAGAAGGAGCGGCCCTGATAAAGCCCGGGCCCCCATCCTCCAGACAGCACCCCAAAACAAGATCCGTGTGTTCCCTCTCCAAATAGACCCCCAGAGGCCTGGGCTGCTTCACAGAGGGCCCTGAGAAGACTGTAACCTGTCCCTCTCCCCTAGCCCCGCTTCCCCCCCACACCTGGGGCTGCTCTTAGGGTTCCCACCCCACTGCCTGCAGGCTTCCAGATGGCCCCCTGTGGGTGTTTCTTCGACCCCCGCGTCTTCCGCATTGAGTGGGCTGCCACCTGCTTCGGCCAGGACTTGTACAAGCTGGCGGTGGCCAGGGGCCCCACCTCGCCAGACAGCTACCTCCTGGAGCCCCAGTACTATGCCAAGGCCCCAGTACCGCCCCTGTACCCCCACTACCAGCCTGGGGGGCCCACATATCTTGTGCCCTGCTTCCCGCCCGAGGGGCCCAGCCATGAGTCCCTGGGCTTCATGAGGGATGGGGGACCCCCTGGCTTTGTGGAGTTGCCTCCACTGCTGCTCAAGGAAGGCCGGGCCCCTCTGCCACCCCCCAAAGACAGCAAGCTGTCCCCACTGCTCCTCATGCTACCTGCCGAGGCCTCGCTGCCTGCTGAGGCCCCGCTGCCTCCTGATGCCTATGGCCACTTCCAAGGCCACCGAGGCTGGGTCCCTGGGCCTGAGGTAGCCAGGTCGCCCGCTGAGCCCTTGGCCTTTCCCACCAAGGAACTGCAGGGTGGCAATGGAGCTGAGCTGGGCCTGTCCCACCCCCCGGGCCCCAGTGAGCCCAAAGCCCAGGAGGCCACCCAACTGGGGACAGGCAAGGCCCAGGTGCACGAGGTGGCCCGGACCTTGGCACTGCCAGACAAGGTGCTTCTGGAAGACGCCATGAAGCTCTTCAATTGTCTGCCCAGCCGTGCCAAACCCGAAGCCACAGAGTGCAGGGTCCCCGGGCCAGCCCTCCCCGACAGTGGCAGCGGCCGGGACAACTCGCCCAGTGACATCCGCTCACTGCACCTCCCCGAGGAGCTGCTGTCGTTTGACTACAGTGTCCCTGAGATCCTGGACATGGTGTCCAACGTGGACTATCTGTTCAACAACTTCAAGGTGCTGGATGAGGGGCCACCGCCCTGCCCCAGGACCCCCGGAGCTGACCCCGCTGTCCCTGTCCCTCAGGCCAGCATACGGAGAAAGAAGCAGGGCACCACCTCCACCAGGAAGGGCAAGGCGGGGGCCAAGGGCAAGCAGGCTGCTGCAGGGGCCCGGCAGGACCTGGGCGCTGCCCCCCATTAAAGTGGATTTGGTTTCTCAGCTTCGCATCTCTGGGGTGGCCTCAGGTTCTGCTGGCCATGGCTGGGTGTGGACACCTGTTCCCCTGCTGCACTGTCCTGAGAATGAGCGTGGCTGTGTCCCACCGACCACAGTGAGGCTGGGCAATACCCACGCTTCTGGAGTCAAGCAGGGAACCCTGAGTCGCAGGAGATGGTGAACAAGGCCCTGGGCTTGGAAGATGACAGCCATCTGGCGGAAGTGGGGGTGGCCCCGGAAGTGGCCCAAAGCTACCGCCAAACCCTGTGTTATGAGGTTTTTGGTTTTGGGTTTTTTTGAAATAGGGTCTCATTATGTAGCTTCAAACTAGTGGCAACCCTCCTGCCTTATCCTCCCGAGTGTTGGGATGGTAGGTTTGCACCACCATGCAAGAAGGCAGCCTGGCTAGATTGCTTTAAGATTAAGGGATGCCTGGAGGTGTAGCTCAGTGGTGAGTGCTTTACCAGCACGCAGGAGGACCTAGGTTCCATCCCCAGTACCAAAAACATAAAAAAAGTGAGCTGGGCATGGTGGCGCACACTCAGCATTCTGGAGGCTGAGGCAGGAGGATCACACAGTTTGAGCCCAGCCCGGGCAGTTTAGTGACTTAGCGAGACCCTGTCTCAAAATTTAAAAAGTGGGAATGGAGCTTGGTATGAAGGCCCTGGGTTCAAACTCCAGGGCTGAAAAAAAAAAAAAAAAAAAAGGATGGGCCAGGGATTTAGCTCAGTGTTTCCGCTGCCACCTGCCTCGCAAGCGCAAGAACCTGAGTTTGATCCCCGGTACCAAAAAAAAAAAAGGCGCGTGGTGGTGGGCGCAGGGGGGTTGGGTTGTTCATTGCTGTCTGTAGCAAGCAGCTGGTTCCCATTCGCACAAGTGTGGCCCAAGGTACCACAGTGACACAGAATACGGGCAGAAGATTGCTAGCACACACACATGCTTCTTGCTTTGTTACCAAATATTTTATTTTAAGACAGCAGCCTGGAGCAAGACCCCTGTGGGCGGCATCAAGGTGGCTTTTGGGGCTCCGGTCAGTGCTGCCGGCCACGGCAACAGTGGCAGAGCCCGTGGCATCTCCGGCGCAGCTCCCTGTAGGCCTCCTTGATCTTGAGGCCGCCGTGGGCACACAGCAGCTTGGGGAGGATGTGGGCCAGCCACATGGCCAGCAGCATGCTGGCCACCAGCAGGACAATGGTGACTCCGGGCGCAAAGAGGGACAGTGGGTAGGCGCCGTACACATAGATGCTGAAGGTGGTCTCCAGGCGGCAGTAGCTGCAGACACAGGCAGGCAGAGGCCTTGGTCCTGGCCACTGTGAGCCCAGGGGTAGCAGAGCCTGGGGGCAGCGACAGGGCTCACCCACCACGGCCCATTATGTCCACGGCACCCCTGATGGAATCTGAGCCTGCCACCTGCTCTGTGTGCTATTTGCATTTGTTGTTTTTGGTTTCCGTTTTCCGTTTTACTATGTAGCCCAGGCTGGCCTCAAACTCCCAGGGATCCTCCTGCCTCAGCCTCCCGAGCGCTGCCATTACAGGCGTGCATCACCATGCACTCCCAGCTCAAAACCTATTTTTGAGGCTTGGATGGGAGGATTTACAGATGGAGAACCCTTGGGTAGGCAGGCGGGCGAGCATCCACAGATATCACTCACAGGGCCCTGCTCACCTGTAGTACGGATCCAAGACGGAAAGGTGGAAAACGTAGATTCCATTCCATTGTTTGAAAATGACCCTGTTGTCTGTCCGGCCCCCTAGGATCTGATACTGGACGTCTGGCCACCTCAGGGGGGTTTGGGAACTGGGACTGTGGCAGCTCACGTAGCTCTGGGAGTTGACAGGGGGAGTGGTGCCACAGACCCTCTCCCAGTGCACCCCTCAGCCAGCACCAGGGGTGGAGCCCAGGGCCAAGGGCACCAGTGCAGTGCAAAGCCTCTGCCGGGGCAGACTGCACAGCTGCCCCTCCTCCCCAGCCTGCTCCTCGGCCTCCGGCCCCAGAGTCTGAGTCTTATTTTCCTGTGGGTATTTTTATTATTATTATTATTATTATTATTTGAGACAGGGTCTCACTATATAGCCCAGACTGGCCTCAAACTTGCAGCGATCCTCCTGCCTCTGCCTCCTGAGTGCTGGGATTCCAGACGAAAGCCACCACACCTGGCCAGAGGCTGAGCCTTAATCACTGCTCGTCACATTCAGCCTGTGTGTGTCAGTATGTTATGCATTGGACTGTGTTCCCCCGCCCCCGCAAAAAAAAAAAAAATGTTGAAGTCTTAATCCCCCCAGGACCTGTCAATATGAAGGTCATATTCCTCCAGAAGTAAAGTTTGTAAAGAGGTGCTTGGGGTAGAATGAGATGACCGGGTGTCCACTGAGCCAATAGGACTGGTGTCCCTATGAAAAGGTTGGAATTGGAGCGGGGTGTGGTGCCGCATACCTATCATCCCAACACTCTGGGAGGCTGAGGCAGGAAGATCGCCAGTTACAGTCCAGCCTGGGCAAGATAGCAACTTTAGTGAGGCCTTGTCCCAAGAGGAAAGCTTTAGAGCTGGGTGTGTAGCTCAGTGTGAAGGCCCTGGTATAATCCCCAATATGAAGAAGAAAAGGAAGAAAGAAAGAGAAGAAGGAAGAAGGGAGGGAAGAAGGGACAAAGAAAGAAAGGAAAAGAAAATGGAAAAAGAGGACCGGGAATTTAGCTCAGTGGTGCCGCCTGCCTTGCAAGCGCAAGGAAGGTCCTGAGTTCGATTCCCGAAACAAAAAAAAAAACAGGAAAGAAAATAGAAAAAGAAAGCACAGGCGCCTGCAAGGGGCCTTGCGGCGTGCGTGGGGAGCGCGCGCCATCTGCTGGTGGCGCTGCCACGTTGCGTTGTGTTCCTGCCTTTGGCCTTGACCCACTGCTCCGTAGCCACTGCAAAAAGCTATGGGCAGGAAGAAGACACCCGTGGGGATCCACGCAAGTTCTTCAGCGTGGTGACACCTCACCCTTATTTGTCGACCATCTACGAACCAACTCGGGTTACAGAAAAGCTCTTGCCACAGACCAGATTCTGAAGGCCTTTTTTCCCCCGCCAGCACTGGGAATGGAACCCAGGGCTTTCGCACTGCGCTACAGTTGCAGCCCTTTTTTCCTTTCATTTTGAGACAGGGTCTTGCTAAGTCACTAAATTGCCCAGGCTGGGCTTTAGCTTTGCGACCCTCCTGCCTCAGCCTCCTGAGTGCTGGGATGACAAGCGTGAGTCACCCAGCTCCAGCCGTGAATCGAATCAGCCCCCCGCGGTGGGTGTTCGGAGGCTGCAGACCCCAACCCCTTGTGCCTGTACTGTATTCCTGTTCCCGTGAGACTGCCGCGGGTCCTGTCCTGTCACTTTCCCAAGCAAGGCGCCTGCCCCCGGGTGCTAGCGAGCTCCTCGCCCACCCCCGGGCACCAGGGGGCGGTACCTCTCTGCTCCAGGGGGCGCGTCCGGACCCGAGCGCGGACTGCAGCACCGAGCTCCAGTTCTGCGGCTGCGAGCGGCAGCCGGCGTCCTTCGCGGTGAGCGCGTAGGAGAAGGTGCGGAGCCCGTGCACCTCGCGCAGCACGAACTCGGCCTCCACCAGCTCCGCGAACTCGTTCCCGTGCCACCTGCGGGAGGAGACAGAGCGGGCTGAAGGGAGACGGGGCTTCGCAACTTGCTGAGCCTTGTGTGGTGGCGCACGTCTTCTGTCATCCCAGCACTCCGGGAGGCTCAGGCAGGAGGGTTGCAAGTGGAAGCCCAGCCTGGGCAACTTAGTGACTGAGACTCTGCCTCAAAATAAAAAATAAAGAGGGCTGGGGATGGAGCTTAATGCGAAGGCCCTGGGTTCAAACCCCAGTAGCAGAAAAAATAAAAAGTTCAACGGGAAGAAACGACTGTCAAACCAGGGAACCTAATAATGGCACCAATAAGCAGAGGCCAACAAACATAGAGCTTTAGATACAAGTCGTCTATACATCGTGTCTGCCTGTACCATGCAGACACATGCACAGACAGGAATGTGCAGAGACGTGTATGTGAGCAAACCAAGAGGCAAACACAGGTGTATGGATATAGATGTATACGTATATAAAATTTTAGATTTATTTGTTTTAAGACAGGGTCTCACTATGTAGCCCAGGCTGGCCTTGAATTCGCAGAGATCCTCCTGCCTCAGCCTCCCGAGTGCCGGGATCGCAGGTGTGCGCACCCATGCCTGGCCTCTGACACACGTTCCATCTCTGGATCAGGGTTTGGCCCAGCACACTGGCTTCAGGGGCCTGTGCGCATGTGTCGTGTGCGCATGCCTCGTGTGCTCGTGCGCATGCATGTTCTTGCACACGTGCGTGACGAGTGTGGGGCGTGAGGTCCTGCTCCCAAGCAAGCAGCGTCTCGCCCCAGCAGCTCCCAGATGCTTAGGGAAGCAGGAGGAGGGGCTCTCAAAAGGCCCTGCGCCGAGGGCCCTCGTTGGCTCTGATTCTCCAGGCTCCTGCCCTGTGCTACTCAGCCGCACCCCTGCAGCGCTCCAGGAAGGAAAGCTGGGAAGGGCGCCTGCAGGCTCTGAACGGAGCAGTGAGTTTCCCCGGGAGACCCTCAAATACACGCCCCCCCCCCGCCAAGTTATTGACTGGCTTTCTCGTCTTAGGCTGTGGACTCCAAAGGGGCCCTGGTTCCCTCAACACCTTCAGTGTCCGGTATACTGTGTGGCTTATAGTGGGTGCCTCGTAAATGTTTGTTGAATGAATATTTGAACAGCAGCCCAGCTTCTTGTGTGCTACTACATGGTGACAGCTGCACAGGCAACTCAGCTTCTTGGAGCCTTCTTGTCTGGATCTGTCTTCGCTCTCAAGTCCCCCATGATCTCCTCCTACTCATCCTTCCCAACCCATCAACCACCCACATGGAAGCAGACATCACCCCCAGGGAAGGAGGTGGAAGAGAATAGAATGGAGGGAGGCAACGCATGTGATGAAGCTCCTAGCTGGCTGTGGGTGGAGACAGCCTTTAAAATGGGGCAACGGAAGGGCCGGGGATTTAGCTCAGTCGTTCCGGCGCCTACCTCACAAGTGCAAGGTCCTGAGTTCGATCCCCGGTACCCCCTCAAAAAAAAAATCCTTACCTTGGGCCAGGGATTTAGCTCAGTGGTTCTGGCACCTGTCGTGCAAGCACAAGGTCCTGAGTTCAATCCCCAGTACCAAAAAAAAAAAAAAAAAAAATGGGGCAACCGAGCCAGATGTGGTGGCGCACTCCCATCATCCCAGCACTAATCCCAGCCCTGGGGAGGCCGAGGCAGGAAGATCCTAGTGAGTTAGAGGCCAGCCTGGGCTCCACAGTGAGTTCAAGGCCAGCCTGAATTACAGAGTGAGACCCTCTTGAGAATGCATGAATAGATAAAGTAAGTGAGGTAATGGTCGTTACATGGGGTTATTAAGTTGGGCCCTGTTCGGAGCCACACTCTGACTGTGGACTTGGGCTGAGTGGGGAAGGGCCAGGCCGAAGGGAGGCCTGGGGACCAGGGTGGGGGCGCCGGGTCTTACAGCTCGATCACTGGCTTCCAGGGGGTCTCGTAGTAGACAAGGCCGGGGCAGCCGAAGTCCTTGAATGGGTAGGACACCAGCAGGTCTCCTTTGGCCGACTCCCTGCCAGGGCCGAGGTCATAGGATCCCCTGGGGAGAGTGGAGAGGAGCGGGGGGGGGGGCGGTGAGGCCCTGGCCCAGGTCCTTCCTGCGCACTGGGGGTGGCGCAGGGCAAGGTTGGCTGTCACAGCCCAGTGGCCCAGGCAGCGGATCCCAGAACCTGCCATGTTGACGTTTCTATAAAAGTGGAGTTTTCTTCCTTTTTGCCTTTTGTTTTGAGAAAAGCTGTCACTATGTAGCCCAGGCTGGCCTCAAACTCACAGTGATCCTCCTGCCTCAGCCTCCCAGGTGTTGGCATTACAGGTGTGTGTCACCATGCTTGGCTCATCTTTTCTTTCCCTTCCTTCTTTTCTTCTTTTCCTTTTTTTTTTTTTCTTCAGTGCTGGGGATGGCACCCAGGGCCCTCCCATGACAGGCTAGTGCTCCCGCTGAGCTGCACCCTAACCCATTTGCTACCTGAATGAGATGAACCCTCCCGGGCCAGGATGCTGAGTGGAGTCTGTGGCCTCCAGAATGTGGGAGACCTCGCCCCATCAGGTGAAGCTGGAACAGAAGCAGGATTGACCGGGCCCCAGGCCACCCCTGCTGAGCAGGAAGGGATTCTGCAGCCTGCGGCCAGGACTCAAATCACAGCTGTGCCCTGAGGGCCGGTGCCATCTGCCCCGTGGACTGTGATATTCCAGACCTCAGCAGTGGGTTAAACAGAGTCCTTGAAAGCAATCTCTCTCTCCCTCTCTCTCTCTCTCTCTCTCTCTCTCTCCCTCCTCCCGCATGTCTACGCCTACAGGATCCTTCAGTAGAGCATTCGCCTAGCATACATGAGGTCCTGAGTTCAGTCCCCAGTGCCACACACAGAAAGAAAATTGTGTAAGAAAGGCCTGAGGGACCTCATCTGCCCCTTGCATCATGTGCGGACACGGCCAGAAAGCACCATGTAGGAAGCAGAGGGCCCTGGGTGGGTGGTGCATGGCTGCCATCCCAGCCACTTGGGAGCCTGAGGCAGGAGCATCATGAGTTCAGGCCCAGCCTGGACAGCACCAAGGGACCCTGTCTCAGAGTAAAATAGTAAGAGGTGGGGATGGTGTCCAGCAGAGGACGCCCACGGGTGCAGCTCTCTCCGGTGCGCAGGCAATGAGGCTGGGGACCTGGCAGGCTGAGGAGGTGTGGGAAGGGAACCCCCAAGTCCCCCGGGGCCTCCAGGACCCTCATCCCACCCTGTGCAGTGCAGTCAGGTGGCAGGACTGAGGGTGGGTCGCCCGCTTACTTCTTGATGACGTAGGTGTAGTTGTCCTGCAGCACTCGAGGGTCGAGGACACCCGCAGAGCAGGCAGAGATCTTGCTGCAAGTGAGAGAAGATGGTGAGAAGCACCCTCACCCGGGAGGACGGGGTGGAAGACAGCCCTCCCCAGGGACAGAGCAAGACAGAGCGGCTGGACCCAGCCCTGGCTCGGGAGGGGTGGGTGGGCAATAGTGCTTGCTCTTGGGGCACCTTGCTAATATTCCTATTTTTAAAAATTATTATTATTGTGATTAAGCTGGGTGTGATGGCGCATGCCTGTCATCCCAGCACCCTGAGAGGCTGAGGCAGGGGGATCACAACTTTAAGCCCAGCCTGTGGAATTTAGCGAGACCCTGTCTCAAAAAAAACACACAAAGGGGCTGCGGATAGAGCTCAGTGTGAAGGCCCTGGGTTCCACCCCCAGCACTGCAATCAATCTGTCAACCTATCAGTCCATCAAATAAAGATTTAAGTTGTGTGCGGGGGCGGGGGGGTGTTGCTCAGTGGTGAGTGTGGCCATAAGTTCCATCCCCCATGGCCCCCACAGATGCAAACTGTCTGAAACTACATGTCATAGGAAATCTGCCGTCATGTTTTTTCAGGAATGGTTCTACTATTCACCATCTTAACTATTTTCAGTGCCTAGCTCGGCAGCATCAAATGCAGCCCGTGGCTGTGCCGTCCCCGCCGCCCACCTCCAGGACTTTCCATCTCCCCAGCTGAGCTCTGTCCCAGGAAACGATGACTCCCGTCCCCTCCCCAGCCCGGCACCGTCCTCCTTCCTGTCCCTGTGGATCTGACCATGCTGGGCCTCCTGGGGGTGGGGCCTGCACTGTGTGTGTCCTCCTGTGTCTGGCTCAGCTCCCTGAGCAGCGCGGCCTCAAGATCCATCCCTGCTGGAGCAGTGTCAGGATTCCCTTCCTTTTCATGACTGAGTAATACTCCATCGTGTGGATGGACCACAGTGTGTGCATCCATTGCTCCCTTGATGGTCCCCTGGGTGTTTCTGCCTCTTGGCTTGGGAGGATTGTGCTGCTGTGGACATTGCTTTCCATGCTTTTGGGTGCGGACCTAGAAACAGTGTTGCTATGTTGTGTGGTCATTCCTTCTTTTTCTTTCCTTTCTGTTTTGGTTTTGAGAACCTGCAAGTCTGTTTCCCACAGTAACAGCGGCACCGTTTTACATTTACACCAATAGTGCACATGGGGTCTAATTCCTCCGCATCCTTCCCAACTCATTATTTTCCATACTTTATTTATTTATTTATTTTTGAGACAGGGTCTGGGTAGGTAGCCCAGGCTGCCCTCGAACACATGGTGATCCACCTGCCCCTGCCTCCTGAGGACTACAAGTGTGTGCCATCATGCCTGGCTCTCCTTTTTTTTTACTAGTAGCATCCTACTGAGTGTGAGGCATTGTCTCCCTGCGATTTGGTTCTGCATTCCTTTGTGCTTAGCATCATTCCTTGTGCTCACTGGCCATATGTAACCCTTCTTTGGGGAACTGTCTCTTCATGTGTTTTTGGTTCAGCCCTTTTTTATTTTATTTTTCCAGTGCTGTGGATGAAACCATGACCTCACACATGCTATGCTCCCTGCCACCCTCAGACTTAGGATTTTGCTTTTTTTTTGCTTTTTTGAGAAAAGGTCTTGCTATGGAGCCCAGGCTGGCTTTGAACTCACAGTGACCCTCCTGCCTCAGCCTTTGAAATGGCTCAGGTCACAAATGTGCACACCACCATGCCCAGCCTAGTGCCCAGGGCACTAGGGATTGAATCCAGGGTTTTTGCATTGAGCTGTTAACTCCAGCCCTTGTTAAGTTGCCTAGGCTGGGCTTGCACGATCCTCTTGACTCTGAGCCTTGAGTAGCTGGGGTCATAGGCACAAGCCATTATACCTGGTCTCTCTTTTTTTTTTTTTTTTTGTATTGGGGATCAAACTCAGGACCTTGCGCTTGTGAGGCAGGTGGTGGCACCACTGAGCTAAATCCCAGGCCCCCAGTCTCCTTTTTAAAAAAACATTTTTATTTTAGCATAGCTCCCAGTGCAGAGGAGGTGAGCCACGTGAGCCCCAGCAGCACACACACCCACACATGCCCTGGTTGAAATGAGAAGACACATAAACAAGCCTCAAAACTAGACTTGCAGATCACCTACAGCAACCCCCAAAGGAAAACGAGATGGAACACTCTGATACTCA